GACTATTATTTTTCGTTAGTTGAAGAAAACAGAGAACTTTTAGAAAATGAAAAAGGGTTTTGTAGAGAAAAGTATATTTATACTTTTGAATTAGAGAATGCAACCTATAAACTTGGAAAACAAAGAGAATGTAATAAATGTAAAGCGACAAGATATTCTGATATATTTTGCGAAAAGTGTATCGGTCTACATTTACAGAGTCTTTTCAAGACTCGGAAATCTGGAAATGAAATAATTGATGATTTTATTCATGAATGCCAACAGATTTCGTCTCTTCCTGATCAAATTGTAGAATGGATACCTTATGAGCAGTTTCGAAATATAAAAAAATTAACAGAAGGTGGATTCAGTTCAATTTATACTGCTGGGTGGACAAGAGGAACTATTAATGATTATAACGAAAATAAAAAGGAGTTTATTTATTTTGGACCTCAGAATGTAGTATTAAAATCGCTAAATAATTCGAGTAATCTAGGGAAACCTTTTTTTGACGAGGTAATCGATTATTCTTGTTTAAAATAAAACTAAATTAAACCGTTTATTGAATTTATTTATACGATTAATTACAGGCATCAAATTATTGTAAAATCAAATCAAATTTGATTGTTCCTTGTTATGGTATAACTAAGCTCCAAGAAAATGGAAATTATGCAATGGTTCTTGCTTATCTTCCAGAAGGAAATTTAAGAGATTATTTACAAAAAAACCATTTAAATTTAACATTAAAAGATAGAATTGTCATTTTTAAATATTTGTGTGTTGCATTAAATGCTATACATGAAAAGAATTTAATCCATTGTGATCTACACAGTGGCAATATATTAATACAGGGGGGTTGTAGCTTTATTACTGATTTAGGATTATGTGGACCAGTTGATAAAAAATCAAAATCATCAAATGGAATCTATGGAATTGTATCATAAGTTGCACCAGAACTACTTAGAGGCAATAACACAAATAACACAAAAGAGTCCGATATCTATAGTGTTGGGATGTTAATGTGGGAAATATTTGCAGGCCATCCACCATTTGATGATAGAGCTCACAATCATTTCTTAATGCTAAATATATGTGAAGGTTTACGACCACCAATATTAACTGGAATGCCTGATGATTATGTGCAAATGATGCAGAGGTGTTGGGATGTGGATCCATCAAAAAGACCAACTAGTAGTGAGCTTGCTATTTTTGCTGAAAATGAACGTAATGAAGTTTTTAAAAATGATAATGATAATAGTAATAATACTACTATTATACATTCCATAAAATGTAAAAAAACAAATTGTCTTTACATACATATGAGTTGTGTTAAATTGATTAACTATAGAATTACATGCAATATGTAGTAGTACGCAAATAATATCAATAATGTGCTTGAGCTGTCTTTAGTGTCTGAATTTGAAGCAACATAAGTTGATCAATATTGGTACTTAGAATGACCTTTACATACCACACAAGACAGGTTTTGCTACATATTTTTGTAAGTTTTAATTTGTTTTCTATTTTTATCGCTTTTAAGTTTTCAAAGAATTTATGTTATTGTTGAATCACGATAAATCGATCGCTAGAGTTTGGCGATGCAATTTTCATTCTTCAATTTTAAATGTTGTACGAAAAAATTGTTTGTTACACGTCCGCAAAGAAAAAGGAAATAATATAAACGTCATTCTCAAAATCTCCCCACATTCATTAAAACAACAAGTCGAAGTTTATATTTTATATTTTTATATAATGTCATATTACAGTTTGTTATCACCAGAAAGGGCGGAGTTTGTATTTAAAATTCACAATGAAATGCGTAATAATGCTAATGTTAATTCTGGTGGTAGTAATGACTATTTTTTTTCATTAGTTGAAAAAAACAAGGAGCTTTCTGAAAATGAAAAAGAATTTTGTAAAGAACAATTTATTTATTCGTATGAATTAAATAGTGCAACATATAAAGTAGGTGAACCAAAAGAATGCAACAAGTGTAAATTGACAAAATACTCTGATAGGTTCTGTGAAGGTTGTATCAGTTTACATTTACAGAGTCTTTTCACCACTTGGACATCTGGAAATAACATAATTGACAACTTTATTCAACGATGTCAAATGAAATCATCTCTGCCACACTATATTATAGAATGGATACCTTTTGAACAATTTAAAAAAGTAACAAAGTTGACAGAAGGTGGATTTAGTTCAATTTATAAAGCTACATGGACAAGAGGAGGTATTGTTGATTATGACGAAAATAAAAAGGAATTCAGTTATTTAGGAGGTAGAGGGCAATATGTAGTATTAAAAAATTTAAACAATTCAAATAATCCAGGAAAAGCATTTTTTGATGAGGTTAGTAGTTGTCATTTAAAACAAAATAAACAATACTGTATTATATAATACTAATTGATTTTATCTCCAATAGGCAATTAATTATTGTAAAGTTAGAATACCACTGATTATTTCTTGCCTTGGTATAACTAAATTCCCAGATAATGGAAATTTTGCAATAGTTTTAGGCTATGTTTCAGAAGGAAATTTAAGGGGTTATTTGCAAAAAACCATTTAAATTTAACATTAAAAGACAGAATTACAATCATTTATTGTTTGTGTTATGCATTAAATGATATACATGAAAAAGATTTAATTCATTGTGATTTACATAGTGGTAATATACTTATGCAAGGAGATAGATGTTTTATTACAGATTTGGGATTATGTGGACCAGTTGATGAAAAATCATCAGATAAAGTCTATGGAATTGTATCATATGTTGCACCCGAACTACTTAGAGGCAAGAAGAACACCAAAGAATCTGATATCTATAGTGTTGGGATGTTAATGTGGGAAATATTTGCAGGTCATCCACCATTTGATGATAGAGCTCACAATCATCGTTTAATTTTTGATATATGTGCAGAAGGCTTACGACCACCAATATTAACTGGAATGCCTGATGATTATGTGCAAATGATGCAGAGGTGTTGGGATGTGGATCCATCAAAAAGACCAACTAGTAGTGAGCTTGCTATTTTTGCTGAAAATGAACGTAATGAAGTTTTTAAAAATGATAATGATAATAGTAATAATACTACTAGTAGTGGTGGTAGTAGTGCTTCGCAACAAGCACACAAATCACATCCAGGTGCATATCATACAAGTAGAATATTGGATGAAGAGATTGCTAAATCTAAAGACTTTAAAAGTTATACAAGTAATAGTTCGTTAAATAATCTTGATTGTGACTCTTTTTTCTAAATGTTAACAAAGGTGAATATTATTAATTAATTGGAAATTACTATTACTAACAATATTAACTAATTAATCAATAAACATTAAATTCTAGTAACAATAGTAAAAGAAAAGAATCGATGAATGACTAATCTAATCTCCACTATAAATTTATTCATTATCTTTTTATTTATCTTTTTATTTTATCTTTATTTTGTTTCTTTAAAGCTAAATTATAATAATGTTTGAAATAATAAATCTTTTGACTCTTGTTAAATTGTGGTATCATTTCGGTTGATTAACAACTCTTGCAAGTAATTTGGTGCTTGTCAATTAATCAGTTTACAAATTTACTTTAGTTTCCTCTCTTTTGTATCTGTAAGCACACACTCAATGGTACCAAATAATTGTAAATAAATAAAGATGCCCTTTACAAAGCTCGAGGCTTCTATAAAGTTCCTTTTATTCACTTGTGATTGATTTATTCATTTACATTTATTGGCTGGTTGCAAACTCACTTTGGTTTACTTGTAAAAAACTTAAGTAGCTTGTTTAACAGCCTTACATTTACAATTACAATAATACTACCAGTATTTCCGATTAACCTTTGGACAATGCTTCATTAACATCCACTAGTTAACCAACTTTAGTCTAATCTTTGCTTACTCACTAAACCAAATTACGGTACTAATCATGTTATTTTTACGTTAGCTATCTATTATTTTCCTCTGCGAGGACCAGAAGTTATTCTTCGCTGATCACTGCAATAAGGAAGGATAAAGTTTATTATTGCAAAGTAAATTGATCAATATTGATATTATATATAAAACTTTTGCATAAAATTTTCTTTTTATACACTAAAATTAGTTGACCCTGGAACATAAAGTACCGAATCCCCAATCGATGATTTTATCTATTCCGATCATGTATCATGTCATTAATATTAATATAATAGGAAATGTTCGAGTTTAGTAGTAGATGAGTGTGTGGGAACTGAATTGTATTCAGTAAAAGAAAGACTTGGCTCCTTGGGAACAACTGATGAACCAAAAGGAATACATATTTATGTTTTATTAGCATTTAAAGCAATTTTACTTGATTTAATTTGACGTAATAGTTTTACAACTTTCGTCAAACAACATTAGTACGTAAGCTCTATATTTTTATTTTAAATATCATTTTAGATCGAAAAATGACACGCGGTAATTTATATTATTTCTTGCATATTGTTTATTGAATTATTGATAAATTTTAGTTCTGGCTCAATAAAGCTACCGAATTTGATTAAATTAGAAAAAGGACGAGCATTGAAAGCAAACAAAAATATAAGGAGGAAAACGCATGATTAAGAAAGCAAAATCTTGTCCTGAGAGATGATACTCTTGATCGGGTAGATAGTAAAGAAAGTAAAGAAATAGGTAGCAATAATGAACAAAGTTGAATATATATATATAATTGAAGAGTCTAGTGTGCATGGAAAAAGATAAGAAACTTTCTTAAATAATGATAATTCTAAAAGTGAACAAACATTTGACAAATCATCATAAAAAAACCATAGTATTTTATTATATATTATTATTATTATATTTTGAACATTCAAAGTTTTACAAAAAAATCTATAAATAAAAAAATATATACTCCAGCCTTTTAATCACCCCCTTCAATTGCACTTCTAATAGTACTATAAACCAAAAACAAATCTAAAAACAAAATAATACAACTAACAATAGATGAAACTATAATTAGTAAAATGGTATTTTTAAAATTAAGGAAATAAATTGACTCGGGATTATCACTACTGCCATTATTATTAACATTAACATTATCGTTATTATCATTATCATTATTATCATTATTATCATTATCATTACCATCATCAATCTGTAGTTGTAGCCCATCTGTATTGTTATTATTATTATTATTTAATTTTGATTCGTTAAATACTTTTCTGATATCAATTTCCATACATTTCCTGCTGCTAGTAAAATAGACTAAAGGTATAACAGCAAAAGGTAATTGAATACTTAAAGCCACTTGACTTGCTACCAGCATTTCGTTCAATCCTTGTTCACCTCTAAAAATGGCAATTAGCATGGCAGGTACTATAGCAACTATTCTTGTGAGAAGTCTCCTTAACCATGGTCTTATTGTCCAACCTAAAAACCCTTCCATAACAATTTGGCCTGCAATTGTTGCTGTAAGTGTTGAACTTTGACCAGCAATCAATAGTGCTAATGCAAAAATATACCCAGCTGTTCTTCAAAGGTATTGATTTAATAAATCAAACGCATCAAACAAATCAGCCACCTCAATGCTCCCTGATTCGTTGTAAAAGAAATTAGAAGCAGCCACGATATAGAATTGAAGAATTGACAAAAAATGCAAAAGTTAATTCAGCCGTTTAATCTATTGTTGAGAATGTTATTGCATGACTAACGATAGATTGGAATATTGATGTTGTTGATGCTATATCTTGACCTGATTCCAATTTATTGTCTTTGTTATTAATTTCTTTTGACTCTTCACGATGTTTTCTAACTTTGACCAAGTGTGGATGCAAATATAAATTGAGAGGCATAACTGTTGCACCAATATTACCAATTGCAATGTACAATTTTCTAGAGTCTGTGAAGATTCCTGAACTAGGTAAATATCCTTTTAGAACATCAGCCGGATTAGGTTCTGAATATCTTAGTTCCAGAACAAAACGAATTCCAACTATGGCAACAAGTAACATCACCAGGCTTTCCAGTATTTTTGAAGATAACATCAAGAGAAGTGACAGCAACTCCCCAGGTCCAAAAAGCATTTTAAGTGCAATTGCACTGTCAATAACCTCAGAAAATAGTGCATGATAAACGGGATTTACAGTTTTAGAACCATCAACACCTTTAGTTGTCGCATTTTACTTTTGAATTTTGCTTCCAAATCTCATAATACGGCATGATCAATTTTATTAAAAATGAAAAAAAAATATATACTTTACTGGTTCCAAAGTCTCGTTCTCTAAGCAATTTTTCTTTTTTTTTTGGAGAACCATTATTGATAAAAGTGTGTGATAACAATCCCCGTATTCCAGCTCTTTATGGTATGTAAAGGCTCCTCCTGACTATATATAAAAATAATTAAAAGGTGTTGAATGGACGGTCTGTAGTAAACTTTTGGAAATAGTTTATATTGGATATTCTTGAAAGATATATGCAACCCGAACGGTGCATGAATAATGAATGCGCTAAACATGTAAAAGCAAAAATTAAGTTTATTTTAAAATAAAACTTGGCTTTTGCTTTTTTAAACACCATGAAAAAATGTTTTCGTGTTGATGTTACCATTAATTGATGCTTTTCCCAATGATCTAGTATTCCTGTTCGTAACCTTAATCCAGATTCGAATATTCGAAAGTTTTTAGGCATGATAACAATAATAATAACTACATCCGAATTTTCGAATTTTCGTAATACTTTTGAGCATTCGTAATGTTTTCAAATATTTGCGGTGGTTAAGAATGTTACAACACTCATATTTTGTGGATTTAATTATTAAAACTATCGAATCAATGATTATTTTTTACTTATCACATATACACTCTGGATGTTCTAGAGAAATTGATGCTTTTGCTTGACAAATTCGATATGTTCCATCTTCATAAAATAATTCCAGATAAAGTTATCTTTAAGGTTTAGATTTTTACAGGGTGGGTTAAATATTCCACTACTTGGATATGATTCTAATGAAGGATTTGAATTTGTCTCTTCATTGTCAATATATAATATAGTATGTATTATTTTATTATATCATCTGAAGGCATTTTAAAAATTATTTTTTCAAAAGTATTACGATATTAATATTATATTATAAAATATGATCACGACGGTATATATAAAAAATCCCCCAATTTATTTTTATTTTAAAAATTTACATTATTTCCCAACCATTGGATCCACAACTAATTTTCTATCTATTTTACTAATACTAATTAGATTTTATTATCCGAACCAAAATTTGGTGGTACCCAGCTATCAGATGTGGGAGGAGGATTTGTAGTCTGAATTTTATATGTGAGTACATCGTTAGTGTTGCCTTGATTATTAAATTTAAGTTTTGTTAATAATTTTCTCGAGTAACAAGCAACGGCATAAGCAAAATATATCTAAATAAATGAAGATATTAATTGATTAATTTATAAAATTCTACGCCACATCCACAACAACATCATAAAATTAATTATTAGTTAACTTACCGATATTGCTTCGACGAACAAAAGTTGAAAAGCATATCTAATCAAAGAGTAATTTACGATCCTGTCACAATTTAGATCCAATTCTTTTTGCTTATCTTCACTATATAATTGATTCAGGTTAGTTTGGCAGCTTTGAACAGATTCAGGTTTAGATATAATTCTAACAATATAGCTTGTGACATTAAATATAAGCAAAAGAGCTGTTAATATCCAAAAGGAAATTGATAAACGACGCATAAGGATTGCATTTTCCTATAAAGGTTATGACAATAATGGTTATTTTTTTTGATTTAAAAAAAAAATTCTAAATATTATTTTGTATATTACGTACTTTTCTCAACGCGGTCAATCCAATAATACCAGTTAAAGCCAAGAAAGCATATGAAATACCATAAACTGCATATTGAGCTTGATTCGATGGATCGGAAGATACTATAATAAACAATGACAAATAAGAGATAAAAGATTATTACATGATAATTTATGAAAGAATTTTAAATAGACAAAAATTTTTTAATATCTTTTAAATTAGTAATTTACATGATAAACCCGTGAAAGCACCAGCAGTGATCAATATTCCAAAGAACTAAATACAATAATATTATTATTAGTAAATAATTACTTATTTCTTAACATTTTTTAATTTTAAATAAATTAACTTACCAAGTTCAATGAGAAAATTACTGCTATAAAAGCTCGTTCAGGGATAATAAAGCATCTTTTTCTTGTAGGTTCATCGTCATTAGTAACATTCAACGAGTCAATTATTGTTATTGTTGGATAAGTATCATTATTGTTGTCGTTGTTGTTGTCGTTGTTGTTGTTGTTTTTGTTGTTGTTTTTGTTGTTGTTTTTGTTGTTGTCGAGTTTTTTAGCTTTAAGGTAATTGATAGCTGAAACCATTTTAACTTTGAAAATTTTTTTTATTGAGAAATGTATATGTATAAAGTAACAAAAAGGTGTTTTTAATAATAATAAGAGAAGGAATGTAGTAGTCGTTAAAACTAAAATGTGTATATAATCGACCTGCGATTTCCTTTTGGTTTTTTAGAATGAAGAATGAGAGTAATTAAAAATATATATATTTATGTATATTTATATATGGATGGAGTATTTATATAATCAATATATAAATATAACAAATATATATATTTTTAATTAATTGTATTTGGTATTAGGACAACTCTCTTTTTAAACCTGGAAAGTAATTCACCTACCTATATATATATACAAAAAAAAATTCATTTCCATTTTTGTAATGCTGAATAATAAATAATGAAACAAATTTATTACCTTGTTGTTTATAAGTTGATTATTGGTTACAGTTTTTTTTTTTGCCATGTAACAATACAATAAAACAAAGAAACAAAAGTTTATTGTTGCCTTTTCTTTTTTTTCCTTCCTTAAGTCCAGTAATCAAAGATTATGATTAATAACCTAATATTAGCGTCTGCTGCTGTTGATGATAATAATATAACTATCTAACAAATCGGCATGAGAGATATTAGAACATGATTTTGCCCATTCATCAAAGAAACAGTGAAGACGAGTTAAAATAACAGCAGATTAGAATGAGATATTACTACATCCTTGGTTGATTAATTAATTCTATGATAAGAAAATCCAATTTGGGAGCATTTTTAAATCAATTTTGTCAAGGTGCCAAAATATAAAATTCAGTAAAAAAACTTCTTTTCATCCATTGTGATTAATTATTACCTAGTTTTATTTGGTTAAGAAAATCAGGCACACAAGTATTAATAATTATTGCCGATTTTACTATTTATGGTATGACTACAGTATAACCCTCGGGTTTCAACAGTGGCTGGACATATAAGAAAATTTCATTTAAAATTTTAAAATGAAATTACTAACCCGCGTTTCAACGGATTTTATATGTTTTCATAATAATAATAATTATAATTATAATGTAAAAAAGATTTTTAAACCCATTGAGACGAAGTCCGTTGAAACAAGGGTTATACTGTAGGAAATATCACATGACCAACCAATTTTTATTGCATTTTTAATTCTCAAAATTGGCAGAGTGACCTGCACCATACATCTTCATTATAGTAAAGAATTTTTATTATTGTTTTACTTTTATAATTATTCATTTATTTTCAATGGCCTGCAAAATCACAATTTTATAAAAAAATTGATACTAAATTTTGAGCCAACTCAACTTGGCTCATTTGGAGCTTTACATTAATTAGGCTCAGTGAAAGAAATTTCTATGATTAAACCATATAAAAAGGTTTTTGATAAAAATATATATGAAGAGCTTCTTCAATATCATTTCGCTGGTAAATGGCAATCTAGACTTTTATCGAAAAGATCCATGAACAAGAATTGAAAAATAAAAAAACCTTTAATTTCTGGTTGGGTTGATCAAAATAATGATGAAATTAACATCCTATGTGAGTTTGAATTAATTCTTCAAAATATTCAAGATAGCTTTCAAGTAAAGGCACTTGCCGTAAATGATTAGACTGGTAGCTACCATTGTCGTAAATAGCTGTTGGTAGCTACCATTTGCCGTAAATAAATACGGCTAGTGCAAATAACTACGATTGCCGCGAATAGTTTCAATTACTGTTATAATATTATTAGTCATAATATTCATGGAAAATGCATGGAATACGTACGGAATTTTCGGAAAATGACCTGAAAAATTACATTCCTACACTTTCCTGTGCATTTTCCAATGCTTAACATCCACAGGAAAATCCACAGGAAATGTACGGAATGTAATTTTTCAGGTCATTATCATTTTCATGATACTGATACATTTTCTGAAAAAAATTTTATGGGGATCGTTGAACTACAATCCTCCAACATAGGGTAACTTTTTGTCTAACATGCCAGGAACCTTCTCTGGTCTGAATATTGGGAGTGAGGATTAGTGAAAACGTCATTGACAATTGATGCAGTCTTTTGTAAAAATCCAGGGTCCGACCCCCCTGGAATTCTGTTGCATAATTGTATCGTCGGGGTCCTTGCAGTCAGATTAGCCTTGTGCATACAAGGAGAGCGAGAATGACTGTAAATGTTCAAGGTAGCATGCATGTTTCAATGTCAGTAAATTTCTATAATCAAACATTACGTATCAAATTGTTTCTTTTCCAATAGTGTGTTGTTTTGACATTCTTATGATACCAATCATCTACAATTTTCATAAGAATCTTAATTACCCATCCGCGTTTTGATTTCATTAAAATATTTATAATAACTAAAAAAAGACAAAAAAAAAAGTACTTCTGGTTAGTTACTAACACTTAACACTTCTTCTTTAGGAAAACTATACCAACACTCATATTTTGTCATCTCGAACCCTGTCAAAAATAAAAAAGAACAGACGCGAATTAAAATTTTTTTTTCTAAGAAAAAACCGTACAACACCAAGCGCTCAATAATAAAATTTTTTGTTCTTTTTTTTTTAAACGTGTCCTTTTTTAAAAAAAAATTGATTATAAATTAGTATGCATTTTTTAAAAACTAGTTTTCATATAATAAATTTTTAGCAAACAAGTTTATAAAACATGTATTTTCCACAAAAATCACCAATTTCTAGCCAACCAATATAATTTTAAAATGTGCTGTGGTGGCAAATGATTTTTGTGGAAAATAAACAATTTTTTTACTATATTTCCAATATTAATATGAGTAAAACACTTCATTCAGGAATTGTCATATTATTAATCTTAATCACTATTTGAGCCACAGGGAATAAAGGTTAATCCTTTAGACCACTGCACATGTAATAATTAAAATCTGAATAGTGGTTATATCTGTCAAAATAACATTCACCGATTATTTACCGATTATTTAATTGAAAAAATTTCACCGGGTGCCAAATTTTTAGTTTGACTGAACTAGAGCTTACGACGAACCAGTTCGAACCGATTCAAATCATAAGTCAAAAAATTTTCTGATTCGAACTATCAGCGATTCGAACGATTTGAACCAATAACTTGATTAAACCGATTATATAAATGTAAATTTAAAATTTCAATGAATTTTTTTAGTTAAATTCATAACTTGAAAATTATTATGCGAAAGGTTACATGTAGAGTTATTTTGTTTAAAGATTTTCTCTTTTCGATTATTGGAACTTAGCAAATTCATCATGTTCATCTATTAAATTTTAATGATATCTAACTCTCCACATACTAGTTAATTGTGTTTTCTTCACACATTTTTTTTGTGGCTGGTTAGAACTAATTAAAACGGGCGAAGATTGTGGCGCTGCCATTATCCCCTAAACGGTTAATCGGCTATTAATAGCCGATAAAATTTTTCTGATATAAATATTTTTTTCTGAGGGCATCACTTTCTAATACGAAATGATCTTTGAGATTCAGCCGATTAATCTATAAATAAAAATCCAGTTGTTGTCCCTATGGTTTTTGTAAAATCTTCTTTAAAAGTTGGTCGATTGACTGTTTTTACTTTGCTGATCGTTAAATTGACCAATAAGAATGATCAAAACTTTGCTTCGTGTTACCATTAAAATATACTCTGACCGTTTAAGAGATAGTTTCAGATGTCTGAATCCAATTGAACAGTTGGCGCTCGATATAAGGAAGAGTTTGTTTTGGCAAAACTTCACTTATGGTGCGATTCATTATATAAAAAGATCGGCAAATTTTTATTTTTTTTTGATATTACAAAAAAAAAATAATAATGATAAGATTCATTAATTTTTAGTATTAAACCAACGATCCAATTTGCTTTGTTTTTTTTAGAAGCAAGAGAATGTTTAGATATATGACTTTTAACTGATTTTTATCGATTTAATGTGTTTTAATTCAAAAGTAAGGTTTTCATATGGATTTTGAATATAAGAAAAGATGGTATCTAAAGATTTTAATGCATCTTCTGTAGTGATTTTTTGTTCGACAGCTACTAATTCATCTTCTGGTTCAGATTCAGAGTTGGTTTTACATAACTAATGATTTCTTCATTGGTATTCAATATACAATTAAATTTGTGATTATAAAAATAATCAACAAGTGAACAATTTGTAATATTTCCAATTTTTTATTGTATAATAAACTTTTACTTTTTCATTAGTATTTTACAAAGTGCTTGATCTTTAATATTGATTTTCCCTTTATTAATCAATTATTGAGATTTATTTATTTATTTTTTTAGTCAAATGATTATATTTATTATCTTATTTATTTCAATAGAATTTTAATCAATTGATTTTTAAATTAATATAATTATGATAAATTAAGTAATGATCAACATATTTTTTAAAAAACTTCTCTATTTAATAGTAATAATAAATTTGCTCCACGGGTTTTTGATGGGGTCTCTCTATATGGCTACAGCAGATTCACGTGACATATAAATGTCCAAATTATCGAAATTGATAGAAGAAAACTGCAATTTTCCCTTTGGAAA